TTGTATGCGGTACGCTGTTGTTACCGTTATTTGTGGCCACCCTGTAGCAGGGTCAACCCTATGTTGGTACAAGTACCAACGGGGGGGGGGGTCGTACTTGCTTCGATTGTAAGAAGTTGCATGAGATGAGTGGGGAGTGGCGCGGGAGAAAATTTGCCGTTTCAGCGCGCGTATATACCCCCCCTAGGGAAAAGGGGGTCGTAACAAATCAAATCCACCTTGGGGGAGGGGGGTCGTAAAAAATCTTTGAAAAGTACCAACGATAGGACCGACCCTGCCCTGTAGAAAGCGGCGGAGCTTACCGCACGTGGTGGACCCTCCAGTGGTGGGTAGAGGAAGAAAGCGGTGGCCGATCCCAGCGATGGGAAATCCGCAAACGAGGAAGAACAAATTTTTTATTTATGCATGTATGTTCATTATTATTATCGTCTATTAATTAATACATATATTCAGATGTTAAAATGTCGTAGCAAAATAGCGCAGGCCTTGTTCAAAGATGTCCTGATGTAATTTTTCATAGTCAGGAATTTTTTGCAACAAAGCGGTTGTGACTCGTAATTGCTCCTCGTACTCAGCGGCTGCCACTTGTGCTTTTTCCTTACACTTTAGATCGGCTGGCGCTCTGCAATTGTTCCATAAAAGATTTCGATGATGACAAACCTATGTGTAAAATAAGAAGAAAAAGCGGCGCTATCACAGTATACGGGGCAACCTTCACAGCTAAGCCTAGGAGGTGGCAGGAGCTCCAGGGAAAATGAAAAACGTTTTCGCACCTTAAGGTCTCTTCTCCGCCGCCTTAGGCTTAGCCCCGTTTCTAGCAAGGAGGGTCTTTCAGGTCATGGAGCGCTTTTCCGAAATGGTTCCTTGCATGTTGTAAAGGCTCATGCGAGGAACATAAAACCATGGTCCATTTTTCCTGAACGCCTTCTAGGAATGTCAAAACAGTGGTGAAGAAATGGTCCAAAGTTCGATCCGCCGTGGTGACAAATTTTTGCAATCCATGTTGGAGCCTCCAAATTGTCGCCAAATTACGAGGATGACATGTTAATCGACGCTGGTGCCATTTGGACACAATTTGGAGGCGCCAACATAAATTGCAAAAATTAGACATCACGGAGGATCGAACTTTGGACCATCTCTTCTCCACTATTCTGACCTTCCTAGAAGCGTTCAGGAAAAACGGACCATGGTTTTGTGTTCCTCGCATGAGTCTCTACAAAGTGCAGGAAATCATTTTGGAAAAGCGCTCCATGTCCTGAAAGACCTCCCTTGTCATGTAGAAACATGTTTCACCACGGCGGTTTTGAGTGCATTGCCACCACAGTGCCCCCGTATATTGCGATATGCTGTCCGAAAAGCTACAGTCTTGTAATTCGTTGCTACCGGATCACCCCGCGGTCTAGAGCATTTTTGTGCTTTGCTTTCTGACGGCGGCGAGCACAGCGGTAGTCTAGAGCGCGCACTGCACTGTCATTTTTCTGATTTCGCTACATTCGCTACATTCGCTACATTTGGACCTGCGCCATTTGTACTTTAGAGCAGGCACCCCCTTCCCCTTCCCGCTCCCCGAATGCTTCTCCTATCTGGGTGGAACTTGAGTGTATATCGCGGTCGCGTATTCAAAGGCAGGCGTTGTTATCGATAAATTGGCCAGCCGTCGGAGAACCTAAATAGAGCCCCTAATTGTAAGAGGTGTAATAATGAAGGAAAAATTCAGAGAGTTCGTCTAGAAATCGCAGAACGGGACCCTTATTTTTCAACTGATTTCCGGGTTGAGATGCTCCTCATCAGTGCTGATGCCATAATTAAGCAAGCACACACAAATATGATAACTGCTCTGGCTTACAGAATGCAGTGCTCAAAGGCAGAACTGGAATCTCTAGACGCGAAAGAATGAAGCCATGGCGCCGGCGCAGGTAGTGTGTCGCGTGAGGATTTGCGGCCGTGATTAAGGCCCTTATGCGGCTATACCCAGACTGGCGGACGCCGTTAGCGACACGGCAGTCTTCAGCAATCAGAAACAGCGCCTTGTCCCGTCTCACTTTTGGAGACAATTCTGCTTCGTTATAATAGCAAGTACATAGGCTACGGTTCCTGGACAGGCCCCGAGAGTGGAGAGAGAGAGGAAGTCCTTCCCAGGTTTCGGTAGCGGGCACCCAAGCACTGAGTCCCCTCGGCTTGCGCGACACCGCTTCACTCTCGCACCTTCCGCGCCCCAAAGATGCGCGGCAAGGGCGGCTAAGCGCCTTGCCCGCCGCGCTGCCGCGCTGCCAGCGTAAGTCCAACACGGCATACGTGGTCTCTGCGTCCTCTCGCGTACGACGTACTATCTCGCGTTCTCCCTCTCCTCGCAGCTGTGTCTCTCCGTCGTACTACGGCCGGCCTCCTAAGGGAAATTTAGTGTTTCTATAATGCTGCTTTTTGCTTTTTCTCCTCACAGGTGTTCCTCTTTGCACCTCTTGCTCATGTTTACGAACAAAATAAAGCATCAACTCAATCCCGCAACTCGTACCTTTAATCTTCAATTTTTCGCAGCACCTGTCTTTAACCCTTTACACCTCAATAATTCAAAGTTTGCGTAATAAAATAAATCCCAAAACTTTGATGAAAATTCTAATAACTCGATGAAAATTTAAAAAAAAAGGATCGAACGATTTTTTGTTTTGTTCATTAATTCATGTACTCAAAGAGAAGACCATGCACGCAACCATCTATAAAGGATTCGCTTGGAGCGACAACAATAGTATACAAATGGGTAAATTTTCCCCTCAAATGACAAGATTGAGAAAAAAGGAGAGAGGGTATATGGTTCTCGGGATAATGTAAGCTCGAGGGTAAACTATGTCCTCAAGATTCTCTAGCATAATCTCCCCCCTTCTTCTCTCGATTTACTTTTCAAGCCCTTCCTCCAAGCTAATCCGCTGACCGCAGATTTCGTCTAGTACGATCACCCAGTAGGAAAAATTTGTGGTTAATCATAATGTTGGCACATACTGTAGAGAGTGCCGCCTGTTGGATCTTATCGGCTGTGTAGGTAAAAATGCCATTGAAAGAAATAATTAAGTTATACGAGAAGAAGCCAGATACCTCTGCGCTGCTCGAGCAGCCCCTTCTTTGTTGTTGCGTTTCCTTCTCAACGATTGACAAGCGTCTCTGATTTCTTTCAGCTCTTTATTTTCAAACGCTTTAAAGCGATCGTCGAAGTTTTTTGAAATCTGATAAAAAGAAAACATGTTCTCTCAGCACTACTGTAGAGGGTATAGAAGAGATTAGGCTGGAAACGGAAGGATCTTATGTGGGATGGATCTCCGGGTTTGGGTGCATTGGAACAGAGACGCCTATTTTCACTGTTTGCGCTATGCGGAACCTCCAGCTCTACTCATTATGGCAGAGCGTATTCTGGTCGCTTTCCCGCCACGTGGGCGATGTTTCCGCGCCATTTCGATTCGGCCGGAGTTGGAGACAGAGGCTTGCCGTTTCATAGGATTCCAGCCCAAGTTATCCCTATGATGATGGGTGTCCCCAAGAGGCCCGTCGCGCGGCGAAGGAAGAGACGCAGACGCGGCAAAGGACGAGTCGCAGCGCATACTGTAGCGGTTAGGCGTCAGGTTAAATAGAGTGTACCATACTACGTCTCATATCGCACAGCACGCGCTGCGACTCGTCCTTTGCCGCATCTGCGTCTCTTCCTTAAAGCGGATGTCCATACGGTACCTCTGCTGGTTGAGGGCCTTTTTCTCTGCATGGGTCACGCTGGCTGAAAATGCTGAAAGCGCTTTAACGGGCTACTTAAAACATGTTGTTGCTATGTCCTGCCACGATGGCGCGAGGATACCAGGCGATTAGAGGAACGGCGCCTGTCGGTTCGCCCTCCAATCCCTAAGGAGAATAGGAAGCTCTGGGACTAAGCCTTGGAGGCAGGAAGAACTCTGGGGTGGTTAAGGGGTTAACACTATGACAAAGGACTGAATGTGTGAGATCACAGTCGTCATAAGCCGCTTTTCAAGCGGGAAAGCGTAGGCGGAAGCCCCAAATTGAGGCAGTTTAAAGGACCGAGTTCAAGTAGTCCGTGACGGCCTACATGGCAAACGTTCTATGACGCCCTGTCCCCTCCAACCTTAGGATAGGATCGACGGCGGGAGGCATGTCCCCTGGTGGAAGGATAGGATACGGCCCCGGCGATTGACGGTTGGGTTTCCGCAACGAGAAAGTTTCGACAAGTCGCTTTCTTCCCTAACGGCCCACACCGACTCACATCTCTAGACCGTGCCAAAACATTTTTTTTTATTGATACGGCTTATGAAAACGATGCAAGGAGTTGATAGATCTCCCTGGAAACCGTCTCGCAATCGACTTCCATCCAAAGTCCTTAGCTCGTCAGACGTTTTTATTATCAATGATTCGGCATCTTTAGGGCGGAAAGCTTTGTTGTCTTTAGTGAGACAAGATAGCCCAGCGGGCGGGAGGTCAACCCCCACGTTGGAAAACTCTTGAGATAGAACATTTCCTTCTCTCTCTCCCTCCCTCCCACCCTCCTCCCCGTCCTCGGAAGTGTTCCCAACGTGCCCCATAGTGTCTTTATGGCTCAATCATGGCACACTTTGGACTCCACCCCCAAAACTCAGGTGCGTCGAGTGAGGGGGAGAGGGGTATAAATGACTGTTAAAACGACACATAGCGTGGAATTTCTTTGAATTTTCTCCAGATTCGTAGAAAACTACTTCTTCCCATTTCTCTCTATGACTTCGACCTTATTCATATACAACGTCTTTCCTTGGAATCGCAAAAATGACCCTCTCCCTCCCCCCAATCGTAGAGAAAATCCTAACGGACAGTTGACCTTTATGGCCACCTGGATCCAGTGTGCCGTAGTGGCTCCCCAGTTGCCATGGCCCATCTCCTTATACTGAAAGGATCGTGAATTATCTGTCGTGCTGCTGCTCACTGGAATCATACGAGCATCTGCAAGGTCCCGATTCATCCTTGTCACGCCCAAGAATACTCCAGTAGACTTTTTCTGCTTGAGGGACACAAAGCATCTCATGTTTGGAGGTGGGGTCTGACAATCAGGGCGACGCCTGGTGTTTCGTTGACTTCGCGAAGTTCCAGGTATGTCCCGCTCTCCGCCATCGTCACCACAAACAGAATCCGCTTAGTAGATGATCTGTCCCTGCTACCTTCGATTCCTCGATAAATGACGACAGCGTTCTTTATTTTTGACCGGTGGCGAAATTTGGAACTTCGGATTCCATTTTTCATGTAAAAAGGAGCTTCTACAGTGCTTTCAACGTCGACGATGCTCGTCCTGCCTGCGCAATATGCCGATTTCTGAGACGAGCGTTGAAAGAGGATTCCACGATAATGTCGTAGGTCGAAGAAGAGGAAACCTACCCAATGGAAAGAAAGGCGAACCCCTGTGAGGGTGCGAAGCGACACGCAATTGCAGTAAACGATATGCCTCTAGAGATCTATGGAGGATGGCCGTCTCCACGCCGCTATGGCCATGGACCGCCCCGCCCCCTCGCCGTTAAGCTCTAGCTGCCTCAGAAAGTGTGTTAGCGTTCAATGAGGTAACCACCAATGAGACACGCCTAACGCAACGATCAGAAGGGGTTCAAATTCTCGGGTTCTAGGTTGTTCTCCTTGCTTCATTCATGCGTCACTGACCACCTCCACCTTGATTTCTAGTGGGATGTCTTTTCATCGTGAACTCCGCCTGTGAGGTGGAAGGGACCGTGGAATCGGGTGTTCCCCGTCTTTTTCACTACAACCTCCATCTTGTCACACCCTCGTCAAGTCGCTTTCCCAACAAATCAACCCCAGACTAACTCGTTCATCATGTTATAGTTTTCCGACGTGGGCGCCCGTACTGAAGCATTCAGTGATGTTCGTTTCGAGATCGTGATGAGAGGATCGGGCTCCCCATAGACATCGTCTCTATAATGCCGATGTCAGAGCTTCCAGGCTAGAATCCATTGTGTAGTGCTGATACATATTCGAACTCTAGCATTCTATGTGAAATTTAAATGGGCATGAAATGTGTGGCGCAACCCGTAAATCATGCGTGGATAGCTCAGCATGTTACATCTGTCCGGGGAAGTCTTGAGGAAGCTCGAGAGGAACCTGCGGAAAAGTGAAACTCACCCCTTTATCCGTGAGGTTTACTAGCCTCTGGCAGGAGCCCTAAATAAACTGACGTTTGTGAATTGTTCTGAAATGAAAAGACGAATAACGTCCAGCGAGATTCGTAGAAGAAACAAGCTCTCACTGCTTTAATGTCGTCGTCATCCTTTTTCGCAGTGAGATGTTCGTAGAGCGTGTGGGCTCCAGTATTCATCTGTAAACATTCTTAAATAATACTTGGAATTCCTCGGAAAATCATTGGCGTACTTTTCACTCTTGGAGGAAGGTCACCCACTTTCGTGGTTCGCGAATCCCGCCCAGGTTCAGTACATACTCCTTCATTTGATGGTTGGTTAGTTCGGTGAGAACGCTCTTGAATTGAATGAGTCATAGGTAAGTGAGATGGGAAAACAGAGTGACAAAAACTCTATTTTGGAACGCTGCTTGGTTTCAAATAGCTCTCTAATCAGAAAGAGGCAGACCTAAAGGCACAACCCAAGATAAGTTAAGGTGAATGAATCTTTGTGGTGAGTAGGACGCAGCCACTCTCAGAGGTCGCAGATTTCTCGTTCTTTCGACTCTAAAGCGAGCAACAAGAGGCTCACGAAATCCGCTTCAACCGCTGCCATTTTTTCCTCTTACTGCCATCTGGCACTCTCCCTACTGTTGTGCGCTCTTCAACCTATCCTCTGCTGTTCCGTGCTAAGCCTTTCATGTGAACTGCCTAAAGTTCCAAATCCTATGGTTATTGGGTCCTTTTTTGGTGAACTAATTTTCACCTTTCTTTCCCTGGCTGCCCCCTTCGCCCGTAACGCCTGGCATTTTTTGGACATGGAAGAACCTGACACAGGTTTGTTTCCTGGGGCGTGCGTTCTCGACTCGTTTGTGAGAGAGCGTACATTGTTATCAAGCTACTAGCTGCGAGGGTGGGCGACTCTGTCAACTCGGGAATCCTGGCCCTTTCAGCTTGCTTTGGATCCACCGAGTAAGAAAGAGATTGGTGGTGAAATCCAGTTTGGGGGGGGGGGGCTTTCCTTGCTTTGTTATCCGTAGAACTACAGAGCACTCCTTTGGGCTATCCGGCACTATGCATAAGATAAGTAAACAACTCATTTCAAGCGTACTTTTGATGAGGACCTGTGGATGGCCTACTACCACAGATCTACCCACATCCCATCCACTTTTCTGCACAGGTCATCCACCCTGGAGCTCCTCCATCCTTGGGCCTAGACAGAGGTGTCCATTCTACTGGTCTAGGATAGTTTTCTTGGACTATGGTAGGTGAAAATGTGAAGGCATCTCAGGGTTTCTTCCACATTACACCGATAGGTATTAGAAGTATACTTTATGTGAGTCGATCACATGTCACGAGCGCTCTCAGAGAAACGATGGAGTGTCCCCCCCATGCCGCACTGGTGTTTCGCCGAGTACAACACGGTGAAAATCCACTTTCGAGGGAGGAGGGGGAGGCTACTCCATTGAGTTTTCCGGTACTTAAAGGCAGCGATTACGATAAATTGAAGAAGGATTAAGTGTGACATGGTGGTGCTCAATGGTACGCCGGTAGCGAAAAAAGCAGAAAATCCCGTCCAGGGAACGCAAAACGGGACCCCCTTTTCTGGCCGTTGCTTCTCATGAACAGGTAACAGCTCAGAAAGTGGACGTATGAACGAGTTCGCCGCAATGCGTTGCCATGCCAAACCCACGCTCCAATCGAGTTGCCCAAGTTGTGCCACTGTTGGCAACGTGGCTCGTCCAAATCAATAAGTGAACCAGTGGGCGGATCTTTTTTAGGGCGGAGCGCTTTCGAAGTTCTGTTCAGCAACCAGCGCACCTTGAGTTGTGAAACGCGCCACATCTCGCTTCCCTGGCAACCAAGTAACTGATTCGTGCGGTGCACATGCTTCCCCGATAGGCTCCCTCTTTATCGTAATCGCTTCCTTTAAGATAAGAACGAGAGCACTAATGTGTGATACATAATAGACTCATTCAAAGTCTGCTTCGATAAGTACCGGTGTAATGGAGAAGCACTTCACTCACAATTTGTCAGTTAATCGGAGCTACAGGATGGATGATGCGGGAGATTGGATAGGATGTGGGCAAGAGGTGTTGAATGTAGGATATGCACTAGTCCTTATCAAAAGATGCAACTGCACTTCGTATAATGTATACCTTTAGTCTTACTATTGAGGGCCTGAAGAAGGGATGCCCCTCCTGAGTGGATTCTCACCGTACAACACTAACCGAACGTGATGGAGAACTGTCACTACAATGTTGCTCTTCTTTTCGCCGATCTGTCTGCACGTTCAGCGGAAATCCTTCCTCCCCGGGGAAACACATGTAGATGATATTCATCAGAAGGAGGTGTATCGTCAAGTTTGGAGCCATCATTTTTGAACGTTGGAAGACAATCTCAGGCAATTACCGTAGCAACTAGTTGCAACTCAGACCTGGGACCACATATGAGTCGAAATCCCAACAGTGGACTGCTCGCGTCAAGGGGTGCTAACAAGGGAGGTCGTTCAGGGTGTGCCAAGCTTTTTCAAAATGGTTTCTTGCATGACATTGGGGCACATATGGGGACCACAGAAGCATGGTTCATTTTTCCTGAACGGCTCTCTGAATACCAGAAAAGGGGTCCCTAGTTCGATTCCTCGTGGTGACAAGTTTTTGCATTTCGTGTTGACGTTTCCAAATTCGCGCAAAATGGAGTTAGCATGAATAATTAGTACCAAATTCATGATTAGGAACGTCAGTAACCCTTACAAATAGACTTTGATTGAAAAACTGGTGAAAAAGGTGTGACTAGGGACCCCCTTTTCTGGTATTCAGAGGGCCGTTCAGGAAAAATTAACCATGGTTCTGTGGTTCCCGCATGTGCCTCTATATCATGCAAAAGACCGTTTTGAAAAAGCTTGGCACACCCTGAAAGACCTTCCTTGTAAGGGTAGGTTCTCAGCGTTCCGAGCGCCAAAAGACTTACTGTCCTTTTGATCGCTAAGTAATAGGCGTCAACATTTTTGCCATTTGTTCTCGACATTTATCCTTTTTGTAACTCTGAAAAACAAAAGCATAATTTTTGGGAAGTGCGCCAGGTTTCTATGCTCCGGAAACATCAAAGTTGTGCAAGCAGCAGTACCGTATTTGCTTAGTGAGTAGAGATGTGCAGCAACTATGAGTGGTGCAATTACTACAGCTATGTTCGCTGAATTGAAGCGCTCCCATGTCAGGTAAGCCCCCATACCTAAAGGTCCTGCTCACAGACAATAGGTTGTCTCTCGTTCTGGCATTCAGACAGATACTCAAAGGTGTTAGATTTGGGACGCGCCACGCATTTCAATGAAATCGTTTATGTCAGGTGAATTTTTGGCTGACTAGGTTTAGTGGTCCGAAAAATTGGAAGCATTACGTGAAAACTCGAGAAGATTAACCAACATCAAGCAACAACCCCACATCGAATTGGTATGAGAACTGCGGTGGAAGGGGCGGGGCCGGACGAGTTTTCCCCAACTTGTTCGCTCCATGGATCGGTAACCCGCCCCGTATTGTATGTAGTGCGGCTACTCGTAATGACCATGCTGCGTGTCTTGGGTGTGAAGCGTATATCGTCTTTTTATAAAGTCATATTATGTCCCATGCCACATCTACCACGGCTTTAGCGGCATTGGTCGCGCAACTTTCGAGACTGGCAATGACACTTCTATCATACTCGAGGAATAGTTAATCCCACCCACAGAATAGACTCTTCGACGCAAGCTCTTCTGGGATTCTTTAAGCGTTTTCCCATTTTATCTTCGTTTTCGCGGACGCTCCATGAAAAACCGACCAAAAAATCAGGTTTCACTTTAGTTTTCGTGATAGCACCCGTTCAGATCGCCTCATTCCAGTAGGAGGCTGCTATACCTGGTAAACTAACGGGTAGCGTAAGATGCTCTGCACGAACAGGTCCCGGCGCTGGTGCATTATTGTTTGTACCCTCTTCTAGTTTCGAAAAGAACCTTTTTAACGAAGTTTCGAGGGCTGCTTCAATGGGCTCATTGTCAGCCCACTACCACTTCTGGTGTGTGCCATGAGGTCCTGTTTTTGGCCACACGAATGAGGTCGCGAAACCAGCCACACATATGGAACATGTTAGGGTTACTTCAACGAAGGCGATACTGGCGGGTTCAGCTACTTGTGGCGAAAAGCTCAAGGGCGTGCATCACTATAGGCCCACCCTTGCATGGAATGTGATGCGGTGGAACCGAACCTTATGTCCTTCGTGTCATCCTTCCCTCTCCTCACTTTGCTATTCCTGTTCCTTTCGAAAAATTACTCACCTGTGCGCATTTGTGAAAAGCTTTTATTAAGCATCTGTCCCTTTTTCCCCACTCCATGCAATATTTGATTTTTCCGTTTATCGATTGATCATCGCTGAATACCAATGGATGAACTGCTGATGAAAAGTGAGGAAAACCACGTTTTCCAATTGGCACTCACCATACATTAAGTTGCCGAGTTGACGTTTTTTCGACGCTCCGTTTTATGCGAGCAAACATTGGCGGAACGTGGTTAATTTCCCCTGAACATCTCGTACTCAGGTCTATTGGATTAGCATTGGGTTATCTTATAATAAGTGATCACTTTGCATTTATTGATGTAAAAATTCCTAGAAATTGGCGAAAGCGTAAACACATATTTCGCGAGGTATCAGCCTTATAGTGTGTTCATAGTTGGCGATCGTACGTGCGATTAGGCGAGTAGGCGAGTGGTCGATTGGGCGAGTAGCGACAAGGGTAGGATGGGTATTGATATTTTTGGGGCTCTCGTACCATTGAGCGATCGCCTAATCGCCTAATCGCCTACTCGCCTACTCGCTTATAACGCTCTATGGGCGGGGCAAACTAATCAATACTTATGTTGTATTCCCGCCTAATCGCCTGCTCGCCTACTCGCCTGATCGCCTAATCTAATACGTATATTTTTCGTTATAAACTGATCGACTAATCGCACGTACGATCGCCAACTATAAAATCTCTCCCTGGTGTTTCTCCCCCCTCCTGGGCTTAGTCCAGTTGCCTACCATCGACTCTGTTGCGATGTCTACCCCCGGACATGAGCCCAAAAGATCGCCGAATTAAGAATAATGAGCGCCTACTTCTACTGTCTGAACATCCACGAACGCACCCCTTCGAAACCTCGCAGGCACCGAGCGACCACTCGTTGATATGACAG